ATAAATAAATAAATAAATAAATAAATAAATAAATAAATAAATAAATACAGACTTCACCATCCTCTGTTTTACAACTGCCATACTCGGACCTTTTTTTATTCTTGAATTAAAGTGCTATCCATTCATCCTGGCATTAAGAGAGTTGCTATCTTGGGTGCCAATCCTTATGATTCTATGATTTTTGTTCCAATTTACCATTAAATGATATTGTCCGGTTTTATTTGTGTCAATTTGACTTGACTAAGAGGTCTCCAAATGATGGGGAAAACATTCATTGATCAGCAGATTAATTTGACATAGAATCACTCTAGTTAAGCAGTCAGAATATGAAATGAATTCCTTGCTCCATCCTTCCAACTGTTAATAGTAAAATTTCTGCCATGCATTATTCTGATCTTAGGAATTGAAGGATATCATACAGATTCATGGAGAGATAGTTCCAGCATGGCAGCCAAGCACTTAACTTGGGTGGAGAGTGATTGTCTTCACTTCAATATATATTTGGAGTTGAGTTTATTGAAATGTCTTGCTATTCAATATGTTAAGTACTACCATTAAATTGAACTAAGGTACCTTTGTGAAGGCATTTATACAAAAGCCCTTTTTAATAGACACGGTGGGTCACTGAGATTTGGAGAGATGGAGAAGGAAGGGTGTAAGCTCTGTTTTGACTGTATCTCTTCATGATTTCAGTCAAAACACTTATCCATTGCCTGATATGATGAATGAACTTTCATGTTACAAAGCCACAAATCTATATGAGGATTTTTTTTTCAATAGGACTATTGAACTGTTACAGAGTAAGTTTCAAGTTTTCCAGAACTCTTTGTCAGACAAATTGTTCAATCAAAGAGGAATATGGAGAAAATGTGAGAAGTGATATAGGAGTAATGTAATTGCTCTTGAAATCTAGAGTTTATTTGGTTTGCTTAAAATTTTGTTTTATAAACCAAAAAAAACAATTTTGGAACTCAAAGAAAAATTCAACAGGCATAAAATAGTTCTTTTTGAAGTGCTACATTTGTGAGTGGCCCAATTTTCCTAAATTTGAAATGTTCTCCCACTATAGAAACTTTTGCTTCATATTGCCTCCAAGCTCCTGAATTAAAAACATCCATTATTCTCTCACCTCTTTAAATCAAGGCAATAATTATTCCTGTCAGTTTAGAATGTCTCTCCAAGAAATTTGCAGAGCATGACAATTGCTACAAAAACAAAACAAAACAAAATTCATTCATTCCTTCTTTTCATTTTTATTACTGTTCCCATCAGATGATTCTGGGCAATGAACAGAAAAATCCAAAACAGCAATTTCCACAGTAACATATTCAAGGTAATAAACATAACACAATCAACAGAAATGAGCAAACCAAATGACTCTCCAGAGTCAATATATTGCATAATATATGGGTCTCTGCCATGAAGGCAGGCTCGCTAGCCCTCAACCCCTTTGTTGAACTACTTTGTAGACAAATTTCTAATCTTATAAATTGTTTTTATACAATAAATAATACTTCATTAATAATTCTTAAAATGATTCATGATTATGGATAGAGGTCATTCCAAATGTTGAAAGTTCCTTTTCTACTTTTATTTGAAAAACACAAACTTTTAAAAATCTTGATAAATTTATAGCAGCATGAGAGTTCTTGGAAGAGTAGATCCTTCTTTCCTATATTTGTTCCTTATAATTGCCAAGTTACCACAGTCTAAAAAGATCTACAAAATTTAGGGCACTTGATAGCTGCCCATATTCATTATAGTCTAATAGTAGTCAAGTCAAATCAAATGTATATCTATGGAGATTCTCAGTCATCCAGGACATAGTTGTCCCAAAGATGCTTTTTTTCAAAAGGCAACTGGACTTGCTTTGTTTTTGCTTGAAGATTTTTCACTTCTCATCCAAGAAGCTCCTTCAGTTTTGAAATAGAAACAGAGTCCTATTGCCTTTTGAAAAAGCACCTTTTGGAAAACCAAATGTATGTATAGCCTAATGCAATATTAAAGATACTTACCCATCCCCTTACTAAACATCATGGTAGAGCAGGGGTCGCCAACCTTTTGGACCTCAGGGACCACCAAATTCATACTTTTAAATCCTGAGGATCACTAATATGATTGATTGATACACACACACACACACACACACACACACACACACACACACATATATATATATATATATATATATTCATAAGTTTTCCCAGGTATTTATATGTATGGTATTCGGCTTTGTTCAGGTATTTTCCCACGTCATTATACTTGTGCTTTTAAAGTTGTAGCAACGTTTCAGCAGAATCTCATCTGCCATCATCAGGCTTCTGTATAGTGTTCATCTGTGAGTCAGACTTTAGAAATGGCTGTGAAAGTCTAACTCACAGATGAACACAATACAAAAGCCTGATAACGTGGGAAAATACCCGAACAAAGCTGAATTCCATCCATCCATACACACACACACACACACACACACACACATGTTTTCTGAGGTTTTCGTGGGTATTTGTATGTGGATCTTCAGTTATTTGGGTTTTCTCCTGCGTAAAATTAGAAGTATCTTGGCAACGTTTCGACGAAATCTCATTCGTCATCTTCAGGCTTGTGTCTTCAGCTTTGTGCTTCTCGGAGTAATGTGAGCTTGCAGCTGCTTCTTCCTTTTAACCGCTAGTGGGGGTGTGACTTGATTGGGTGGGGGCTTGGCTGTGTTCTGATTGGGTGGGGGGGTGTTCTCTTTGGTTGGGGGGTTGGCTGTGTTCTGATTGACTAGGGGTGTGTTCTGTTCAGGTGGGGGCTTGGTTGTGCTCAAGTTAGTCTTAGTTGCTGGGGGATTTGAGCTGGTGAGCTGTGATCCTGTTGTTTGGCTTTGTGGTTGTGGTCGTGCCACATCTTCATGGTGGGCGTCCGTTTGCTTCATGTATGGGTCGGAGGGGTTTGAAGTGGGTAGTGATGCTGCTGCGGTACAGCTTCTGGTCTGTGGTCATGTCTCATCATCTGTGTGGGTGTGAGTCTGCTTTCTACATGGAGGTGTGGTGGTAGCATCTTGTGTGGCCCTTGTGGGTGTGGGTCTGGTGTCATTCTTCATGTTAGGTCCTCGTTTGTTAGTGAGGGCGGGTTTCCAAATGGCTGGTAGGTGGGAGGTATCATCTCATTTATTCATGCTGTGTGGGCATTTTTCTTTCTCTGTGGCTTCTCTGATTATTCTGTTGTTGAAATGTTCAGTTTTGGCGATAGTTCTGGTATTTTTAAAGTCAATCTCATGTCCTGTGGCTTTGAGGTGTTGGACCAGGGAAGAGGTCGGTTCTTCTTTTTTGATTGAGTCCTTGT